TCAAATCAATAGAAAGTTATTTCATGTTTGGTTTAGGATCTTTGTGCGACCTGGAATATGTTGTACTATAGCTACAGTTAGAAATCTACATCTAGTGCGTTATGTTTTACACCTCATTTGTCGAGTGGGAAAAAGGGCATAGTTTTAAGCTGATGCTCTCATGTTTATGTTTATAAGGAATGCGTCCCCCGGGTTCATATTTCCTCTGTCGTCCTACTTCCACGGTTGAATTAAATTTCGACTCGTCCACCTGACTTTGAAATAACTATCATAATGGCTCTCAAAAGATCATCTGCCGGTTGTTATTACCAACTGTAATCCCCAGCGTTTACGATTCCATCCTGTCATCAGTCAAGTTAACGAATTGTGTCGCTGGTAGTTTATCAATTAGATTTTTGCTATTCAAGGATGCTGATAGAATCGCTATTGTTAAATACATATCATATTTTTTGTCGACTTTTGGCTATAGGTATGATTTTAACCATTCAGTAGCGTTGTTTCAATTGTGGCCGAACTAAAATTTTTCTCCTTCCATATTTCATGTATTGTAAATTTTTTATTGGTCGGTTGTTTTGTTTTGGTTTATATATGCAAGAAATCCGTCAGGTGTTTCATTATTAAATTCCAATTTCGGCGGCTTTTGTAGTTTTTTTTCGTATTCGAAAATCGGAACAGTCGTTGACGAGGAAGGAAATCGCAATCAACGAGAGGTTGATCATATCCCCCACTTCTGGTTGTTGGATGATACGATATGAAGTTATTATGTGATCCTAATATAGCCCGATTTCCTATATAATTTTATAATAGTTGTTGTTCGTTAGCTTGGGAAAACTAATTTTTACACTTCATATCTTGTAACATTGGTTGTTTAGTATCTGTTGCTGTTCAACCGTGGAAATACTCCTTGAATTACGGAAGACATAGAAATATAGCTACGCTTTACTTACGTAGTATGTTACATAAAGCATCGCACCATGGGATTGGGGTGCGGCATTTGCTATAGACTTTTATTATAAAAAGCGTAGTCGGTACTTTTTCGTTATAAAAAGATTGGGGAAGGATGTTGCGGTTTTATCCTATATTGGGAGAAAATATCCAAAACGCCTATTGTGTCGTTGAATACTCATCCTCACGACAGACGTGTCTGCGTCCGGGGATGGATTAGGGATTGGGTTTTTTCAAAAGTGATCACAGTAGTTATGTGTGACATTTTAAATACAAAATAATTTTATATATGATTTCATCTGTTAGGCAGTTACCCACGTTCTGATACACTAATTGGTTTGAATCAATTTGTATTCTCGACTCTAAATCCTGCGATTTTCAATTCATTATGAAGGTGGAATTCAATGCTTCTAACAAGATGGTGAAGTTCTTTGATAGTCTACTTCAATTACGCAATTTGTCACAAAGCATACTTTCAGTGTAACAAATTGACATAAGCACTTTTGTGCAAACTTTCCAACCATACGTAAAAAATATGGGTACTCCCGTAGTATGTGTACCATAATTTTACTCCGTTTTTCCCTATTACGAGTCGGGGACTGTCTGTGTTAGCCAAGTGAATATATTCAATTCCTATACACAACTTGATGTAAGGTAAGCGAACAAAATTAGCTATCTCCATATTGATACACATATTTCTCGATCAAATTATGTTTCTAAAATGGGTGAGCAAGCGAAAAACCGATAAAATGTATTTACGTATTAAATCTTTACTGTTGGAGATTTATATGCTTTTCATTGTTTTCAACTACAAATGCTTACATTTTTTGCTTGTGATAATATCTTCATTGTTTGTAATTACCTTATCATTCTTGGTTTATGCAATTAGGCCAAAGATCACAGTGACCAATGGTCAGGAACTATCTTAATCCATCTAAGTTGGTTTTGTTGCCGAAAACTTATATGCCTTAGCAGCAGTTGCCTATTTGTTTTCATAGTCTTCTTACACGCAAAATAATTAGTAAAACAGGTCTTGAGTACCAAACTCGTTGGAATCTAGGAATACAGTATCAGATATCTGACACCAGGACTAATTTTCTGCGCCACGTTTGGCACTTTTACAATCTTCATCGACCACGCGTGTATGGCTGTTAATTTCGATATCTTTCTCATGTATTTGGTATGGACTGTGCCCAGTCAAGCATAGCGTGACGTCACAAGGTGTTATTAACTGTGGGAACTGGGTATAAAGATTGTTAACTGCAAGAATTGTTCGGTCCACTGCCCGTGTGAAAACTTAAACGCTTGCGGACTTCGTTTTCACGGAGTATTGTACTAAGGTTGCGAGCTAGAGATACCATTGCATGCATTAATGTTATTATGTCTTTATGAAAATATTTAACCATTCTCGCAGTAGACTCAATTATTACTTTTCTTGTCAGAATGGCCTAAATAAGCTGTACATCTCAAATTAGAACTGATATTTTGAATATTTATGACCTATAGTATGCGAATTATCGTATCAACAGCAAGGGCATTACAGCTCGATAAAAATTTAAATTTAAAAATAGTTGGATTTTGACTATGCTTGACAATTTCAGAATGAATTCACAACACCTCAACACACTTGACACCTCTCGAGTGTCACCATACCTGGAGTGTAACTCATGTCAGTATTATTCTTTGTTCAGTATGACACATAAAATATTCTCTACTCGATCGCGCGTTACGTTACCTTACTCAGATGTACTCGAGTATACCTTCACAGTAAGCCATCATTTTATAGTCGTAACCGGCACAAACGAATAAAATCCTATAACGGCTTCACAATCGATTTGATTTTGTCAAAAATTAAAGCATATATTTATGTTTCTAACGAAATCACACACCCTTGCCCAACGTTACACAAAGGATATTGTAAGCCTACTTGAATAACACAAAATTCTTTCTTCTACTGGTCAGCGACTCGCAGACTCGGGATAATTTTGTTTATGTCTGAATGAAGGATCTTATTTTCAAGTGCTTTCTGTTTACTTATAGATTATCCAGTGTCTAGCACTACTGATGTAAGACTTTTGTTTACAAGGTTTTTCGCGATAACCTGCTAAATTCTGAGCTTGAGCATTTGATTACCATCATGATTTGTGTTGAATTTCTGCGTGTAGCAAAACCAACCAATGTCTACCTAGTATTGTCGGTGTTTTCTTGGCGAGATGTTGATCGTGTGGCGCATCGAAAAGTAACCGAAACTGGAATCTAAATTTTAAATCTACTCTGGTTTTTGTAGTTACTTACCGGTAGAAAAAGGTAGCTTTTTTATATGTAAAATACATGCATTCAAAATCGAGACAATTTATATTTGTGAAAATGTGTTTTTGAGTCACATTTGTTTATTTCAAGTCTGTTTTGCAAATGTAATTTAAAAAACTGTTACTTCCTGCTTTTGGATCCTGAATACCTGCCACATACTTTTCTTTATTAGATGTAGTTTCTTCGGGGAAAGTAGGAATAATCATGGTTCATGGCGGTATCTCAAGAACCTTACACGTTTTCCGAATATGTTTTACGTTCCAGATTAAAAGAAAATAGACAAATGAGTTTACTCTTTACCTCCTAACAAAGCAGGTATTCTTGTCTTTTTCTCCGCTAATTATGTGGTCACTACAAACAATGCTTGCTAATGGATTTCTCTATGTTGCCCCACCGCATTCGTTTGAACATAATTGCGCCAAAATTTTAAACAGATAGATGAGAGTATTTCATAAAATATCAGGAAAGTGCCAGTGCTTACTTCATCTTTGTTTTCGTTAAGGATTGCTATATGTAATTTGGATGGTATTCTAAATTCCTATCCGAATATTCAAACCTAAGATGGCTGTCCATTATGTCGTTGAAATTCTGCATTCGATTTCTGTCTTAAATCTCAGAGTCTAAGTGGTTTGTTGATGGGCAGCAAATTCAATTTAACTCAATTATTTCAAAGAAACAAAATTTAGTGCAAAATTCTGTGCCAGGAAAGAGTGATTGTTTCGAGATATATTTAAGTTGAGGATATACAGAGCACAGATTTGCCAAACTTACATCGTTTCTTTACACCGGCCTCGGTGCCTACTCATCATTTTTAAATATGTCTCATTATTCCTGTTATTTTTTGTATGAAATTCGTGAAACAGTACGCAGTAAGCGTTACACGGCTCGGTGACGCAATACTCGTAGAAAAGCAAAAAAGGCGAGGCAAAAAAAACTTGAAACTTGATATTCTAATTTGACAGCTGGTGAAAGCTATTTACCGTTTCTCCAATATTTGTAAATTCAATCTAGAAAGGGGTCATCTCTCCCCATTAGGGAGGTCAGACCAAATTTTTGCTGTTAAAGTTTGAATCTTTAGCGCGTGCCCACAATCAAGCTTTACTATTCTATTGAGGAAAATCGAAAGAAAAAGAAAGATTTCAATTGATGGATCGTCTCAGATGTTGCCACGTTTTGCCCGCATAAATGTTGTTCAAGCCGGGCTATAAGAAATCAGTTTATTTGTGCCTCACCGTCCGTGTGGTTATAGATTCAGTTGAGTCAGCAATAACTTCATTTTGATCGATCGTCTAATAAAATCAAACCGCCATTTTGAATTTAATGTCACTCCATTTTTCCCTAATGCATAATGAATGTTGTCTTAAGCTTTTTCTGATCATGCGTAACGTATTATCGTTATCGTTTTGCTTTTTTCGTCTGCAGCTATGAAGATAGAGAAGTAAAAAATGTGTCAATCGAAACTTAAGTTACGAATAAACAAATTGTATTGACTTGGTACGATAGATGCATGCTTTTATAATAGAGAGGGTGGAATTTTGAAACAGTACTTAAGAAGACTTGTATTATTTTGTGAATTATTTAATAAGAAATGGATACACTTCGTTTTAGGCAGTATACCTGCCAATACCTTGCAACCTATTTCTATGTACTACAGGTCTGTGCTTGCCACATGTTCTCTGACATAAACTTTATATTGTTTTGTTTCCGTCTTGTGGAATTATAAAACTTTTGATCTCTATTTTCAGGTATACAATAGAAAAGCAACATATTTTTGGAATAGTATGGTAATTAAATACTACTATGTTGAATTGTGATCAACGTTTGTCAGAATTTTAGCAACATACAAGGTGAAACATACAAAGAAGAGCTGACTCGCTGCTTCATCAAAACAGTCGCTATGCATCGAATATCAGCTATCATCATTTCATTTTTATGGATTAATATTATTTATGGAGGTGAGTGCGCAGGGCTTAATTGTCATTCGATTTCACACCGTGCTATATCTTCTTATACGATAGTAAATTGCACATTAGCTATCGTCCGACGCTCGTTACCGCAGACTGTTTTACGAGTAATATTAGAATTTCTGAAGATGGTAACACGATTCCCACAATTCCAAATATTTCCCACAATGCTATGCTGCTCAGAAATATTCAGAGACCGCCTGTCGTCCGTGACCGCGCATCCAATTGATTTTTCTAATCGTTTTTAAGCTTCCCTCTCGATTTGTTTTATTTGTAACAATGTGTAACGATTACTTATGCTTGCATGGTTTCGAATCATCCACATGACAAGATCAAATATATCTTGAAGAGGGATTATCTCAGTTCAAATTTTTGTTTCTTATTTGTTTCAACTGTTTGCTGATCTTTCAGTATGAATTTTTGTTTAAATTGGACTTGGTTTAGTACATATGGCTGGGAATGAACTGATACAGACGTAGTCTATTGAAACCAAATTAATAAATATTTATTTACATTTGAAAATTTGTTTAGAAATGTAATTTTTTGAAGCATTTTGGTAGGTAGTGAATGTCATTGCATCCACGAGTATGACTGCCGCGGCACGAGATTTCTAAATCTGGCGTCAAAGAAGTCGTCAATAAATGAACATAGAAATTTAGAAAAAGAAGAATAAAATCGAACGACGGCCGTTCCAATTTTTAACACAATTTAAATGTAAAGTATTTACGAACGTGCTTTCCTGTAGTCTAAATTCAAGTCCAAAGGAAGTCTAAAATAGCATTTATCGGATAATAATTGGTACATCGACAGTAGTTATGTGACCTTACGTGCTCTTTTATATGTATTGTGTACATTTCATTCAAAATTTACCGAAGTTGTACTGTATAAAATAGGCAGTAAATTTACGCGAATGCAATAGTAGTTTTTTTCCTGGTTTTGAGTTCCTAAAAATAGTCATATTCCCATTATGTCATTATCCCACTACTGGGCTTTAGAACGGATGACGTCTACTCTCGTATACTCTGCTAAAATTACTTATGTTTTTAGGTGTTTTGAGATCTTAAAAAATTACACATTTATAGATTAAAACCGGACAATTTTAACGAAAATTCAGAGCATTCAAATCACAATTCCCTACACTACATAATAAACAATTCAATTTAGAATGCGGGCTGCTCAAATACGAGACGAGCATTGTACATTATACAGCCTCTAATGCCTATATTTAAAAAAATTCAAGTTACGCCAAAAGAAACGCTTACAGATCAAATTATAGCCCATGTTTTGACCCCGAATGAATGAACTGCGACTCTTCACATACCTGTGTGAAAGACGCATAAACGGATGGAACTGATCCTGTAATCCTACAAAAGTCTACAATATGGTATTATATAAACCTAAACTATACGTCCTATATGATGTAGTGAGACGAAAATGTAGTTTATCTAATGCTAACTAACTAATACTAGGAATGGCTGAAATTCATTCATAGGGTATATCATACCGATATTTTACTTGAGTGCTTTTAACAAATCAACTAAATTGTATTTGTTGTTTATTCGTATGATACTTTTTAATTTAGTTGTACCCTATTTAGTCTGAATTTCCAAGAATTTCCAATGAAAAGTACGACAAAGTCGTATAAGAGCATCTCTATAACGAAGTTTTCAATTTTACTCTTCTTTAATATATATTTTTCCTCTATGATACCGAAGAGTATTTCAGTAATATTTATTTCTCTCACACAAGAGATCACAATTAATAATCAATTAAATAATTAATTAATGCCATATTCTGAATGGGTCTCTATTGGATTATTTTAAAATAATTCGTGATTGCATTGCAAAGATCAAAATTATGTAACAAGGATTAATTTTATTTCAATTAGGTAAAAACAGAATTTACACCACTAATTTTAAATTGCTTAACATCAATTCTATGAACATCTTGGGCCTCAAGTTTTTCATTTGTTCTGACCGACTTTCAGCTTTTTAATTTTTATCAAAATGTCGACCATTTGTTGATGAACAATTATAGTCAATGTGTTCGTATTTCATCTTATTATTTGTGTGATATACTTATCACCAAGTGTTTATTATTTTCGAACTGCTGCTGTCAAACCAACAGCCTTTTGTATCTACGTATTTCCGTCGAGGTAATGAAGAACTAATATTAATAAGAGTATGAATAAATATCAATACATCAGCGCCTATAATGATATTTAATAGTCAATTTATTTAATCCCCGCTTTGGGAGATCAGACAGTCTTATCAGGCTAAAGGGAAATTTGAAAAAGGTAAATCGATTATGGGCCTCAGATAAATCGCGATCGAAATGCTTTTCTATATGTTTTCCATGTTCGATTGACTAAGACTAAATAACTAGAGTCACCTTCAGATGGGATGCAGGAGGCTCTATCCCCAAGGGCGATATAGAGCTTTCGCTTTTGCCTTCAAAGGCGCCGCCTGGATTTTCAGAATGTCACGAAAAATAAAAAATAATAAACAAGAGTGAAGAAGATGCTATTTTCGCTTAATTTAAGTTAATTGAAGGACGCATACGTAGGTTTTCCGTTAGACAGAATCCCCATCCGCCATCGGTATACCACATCTGAAGACTGAGTCCGACTTTTAACTATGAAAAACTTTCATAAATTTAGATTCTTTTTAGTTTATTGAAATAGGTAAATATAGATAAACGTACACTGTAATTTTGGGAACACTATAGCGCAGTCTACAGCCTATCAACATAACTATAATCCGTGTTAGTGAACATGGCAATATAGTCGGTATTCAAATCGTACTGTGTGATGGTTTTATGACGTCCAGTCTTGTACAGTTTAATAGCCAATGTGCAAGAGATATCGGTATTGGGAACGTTTTACTTCGTTTTACTAACCCACATTGTTAATGTGCCCAACGTTTAGGAGCGTGGCGGTTTTTGACTGAATTAAGGAACATCTCTCATGAGACTCAAACCTCAAACCAAAAGGCCAAGGTATAACCGAAATATAAATAAAGGTTAAGTTATTTATTAATCAGCCTGCATTCCATCAAATTAAATCACTTGGGAAAATATTATTTTTCTCACACCAAGTTATTTGGCTCAAATTCCGTCTGAAATAGACCAAATTGATAGATTGGCTATGTCTGGCAAATGGTTAGTTTGCAAATATCTGTTGTTTGCAAGTCTACAGTGTTGAATTTGTCTCCACATAAAACACTCTCGTGCCCATAAATTTAACTGCTGTTTATATGACAACTCAATAGCCGTCTACGGATTATGACTTTCGAATAGCATTTGAGGCTTTGTATTTTTCCTAATTCTTAACATTAGCCTACGTGGAAAATGCGATCCAGCTCTACACCAGCTTTTCTTTACAAATTTTCTGTTTTGTACCATTTTACATCTCCTAACTGCTGAGTGTAGAAGACGCAGGCTACACAGTCTTTCATGTAATGTTCAAGATGCCAGAAAATCCATGGACAGTTCGCCGTCATAGATGTAGTTTATGTAATATCTTTGGATCATATCATTCGATCGATCAATAAATCTTTCTAAGTTGAAGATAAATTTCGTCGAAGTAAAAATAGCAAAATATTCATCTTGATTTTGCCTAAAATAAAACAGAAGGAATGTTGAGCTTAACATATTTGTGTTCAAAATTAGAACCCTTGACGTATAGATAATACCAATACATATTTATTAGAGTGTGAATAATATGTATGGGTTGGGTGGAAAATGAAGATTAATTTCTATGTAATAATTTCGATCTTCGCGTTTTGAAGAAATAGAAAGTTGCTCACTTTTATTTGCTTGAGGAATGACAACAATTTCACACTATTATTTAACAACATTGATACATTGGGTTTTATCTATATTTATCCATAATCGAGTATCGTTCATCTCATTAAAAGAGAAATCATTACCCATATTTTTGGGCTTAAAAAGCAAAAATTCTTGTGAGTGGATGGCAGACAACCGCGCCTCGGCATACCATACAGTATATACATCAGTTTTCTGCTTTTAATTATCTATAAGATTTATGCCAGCATCAAAGACCACTGTATTCATGCAGAGGACCACACCCCATAAAGTTTTAACATAAATTTTGGTATCGTTTTGTAAATGAAAGCTCAAGTTCCACGTTAACACCAATTTTTGGCAAAAAAAAATTCACAATTTAAATGAATATAATGTGTGATATTGCGGTGAATGTATCAGTACGTGATACATTACTTTAATGGTGACTTATATCGTCTCCTCCATTTTTTCAAACAATTTCTTCTGACTCACTCAGAAATCTGATACAATATTTTAATCTTTATTTACGATTTTGTCGCATCATCGTGGCCAGGTGGTGAGAAGTTGTCTGCGTCGTTCTCAAAGCTACTGATCAACAAAACATAGGGAGTATGTAATTATAGTTTATATCGACTGAATTGACAATACACAGTCGGGGCCAGAAACCGTCAATTATTATGAAACGGTCACGTAAAACGCACCTGGGCTTTTGCGTCTCGACGTTACTATTGTGGTGTAACTATTAATTTTGAAACATTTAAAAATAATTGTTTAGCCCCAAACACTAAAAAAGTACGATCAAAGTACCGACGTTCGTGGACAAAGGTCAATACAATACATGAAATACAATAGGGACGAAAACACTCAATTTTTAAAAATTGCATTCGTTTGCGTTAGTTACGAATGACGAACATTTTTTATATCATATGGATGTATTGGACCATCACATTTGTTAACGATTGTATGGGCGAGCGTAATTGCGTTTGGTTATAGTAGCGAAAGGATCTTTTGTACAGTCTTCTCAAAAAAAAAAAAAACATCCACGCCAACGCTGGAAATAAGAACATGCGTAATTATCCCGTTAGGAACGGGTTAGAGTTAGGAATTCACATACTCAAATCTCACATTTTTGCATTAGTGGCGAGGACATGGATCAAAAAATCGTAACGCCATTGTTAACCTACTGTTGTTGAGTTTTTGAACTTCATCACAAATACTCAATCATTGTTATTGGACGCGAAGTGTACCCTGTCGATCGTTTCGCGAAAGTGCTGTTATTGTTGGGGTGAAGAATTACTTTTCCTCACAAGACTGTCTTCACTAGTGCTCCGAAAAATTTAAAATTTTCCTGAATATGGGAAATTAGAGCCAGAAGGCCATTACTTTTTATCTCCCTTTCAAAATTTTCTTCGAGTCTATGCGACTCAACATTTTACTCAAATTTTGGTATTTTTACGCATATTGTGCCGCCACGGGGTACCGATGTGAATTGAAACAAAGTCGTTTGCCTTTCATAATTTTCAAGCATCGTTCTTTATTTTCAAATTATTATTTATTTTAACAGAAGAATACCTGCGCTTCGAGGTTGAACCTGAAGATAATATCGTGAAAATTGGAGGTAGAGCAAGGTTGAAATGTCTCACACGAAATATTATATCGATTCCCCAAATCACGTGGTACTTCAATGACGTCAAGATAGTTCAGGATCCAGGTACATATCAGTACCTATATTCTAATACATTGTCCATTCATTTAATTGTGAAAAGGCGTCAATGCCGATTGAAAATGGGGTAGTGGTACGACTTCATGTTAAACGCTGGTTCAGATACTTTTGACCTGGGTTAGGGAGCCGGAGAAGCCGGAGAAATACACCCGTCTGTAACTCGAAAATCCAAGCTATTTAAAGAACGACTCTGACTTTTAGAGCCGAGTTGACTGAAATCCAGACTCCGAGTTGAAGATAATTTTGACTCCGGTGCCACCTCCAAACCCATGGGAAACCATGCATTGATAACAGGTTTCGAAATTAAAAGACGAATGCTGAAATTTTGAAAATATTTTATTTTAAAAAATACAATTACTGGTTTTCTCATCCAAAGTATAAGCGATATTCACCTGAAAGCGTATTGCAAAAAATTTTAAAGCCCTTGTTTTGGCATTTATTATTTGGAAGATACATTGGCTCTTGTTTGATATTCAATCCGTTTTGTTTCAGATGCTTCCGATTCACAGAAACAGCGTAGAAAGCGAAACAAAGAAGATCGATCGACGTTATCGGACGATCCTTACCTTATACAATCAGAATCTAACTTGATGTCAACATCTTCGCGTTCGTTTTCCGAATCACCGCGAAAAAATTTCTTTCGATATTCTAATACGAAGAAAACTAGGAGAAAAGGTACGCAACTGTTTAAAAACTCCAATAAAAATCAGTAAACGCATGGTATTTAGTAAAAATATGTGCTTTGTTATATCTGTCAAACTCGCAGGTCGAACATCGGAAATATTTTAAATATATGGTATTTATTGAAAAAAGAAATAGTTTATAATAGCAAAACGTATTGGTTTGAATATGTTTTCGTGCTATGACCTTCCACAATTAATTTTCTGATCGATTTTCTTTGATTTAGTTAATCTTAGGTTGAGTTAGGATAACTTGGTTCGGTTATTGCCCCACCTTGTAATCCATGGGCGTAGCCAGAAATTTTCAAAGACCATTACAGCTACCGGGTCCGGTCGGTAAACGTTGGTTTCCAAGAGTCTTGAGGGCTTAAGAGGCGTATAAAGCCACGAAATTTGCTATGTATGATACAAGAAATGCTTCTTTTTTTACATTTCAAAGGGGGGTCCGTGTCCGACCCTTAACCCCCTGGCTACGACCTTGTTCTAACCTCGTCCATACCCAGCCTAAGATGAATAGAATAAAAAAAATGTAAAAATACTAAAATATATTGTTCGAACGAAATCTGAAATAAAATACATCTTACGAGGTTCATTTTTTAGGAATAACGAAAATTAAAAATTTTATTTTTCATTCTTGTTGTTTATTCTTTTTATTTTTATGTTGTCAAAAAAGTGGTTAATAAATAATAATTACGCATCTTTAAAAGAAAATTATTGATAAGACTTGTGGAATTACTTTACGAACTCCTTATTATAAATCTCCTACTCAACGCCACCAAATAACATTAAAAATCTATTTTTACTATACTGCTACTTCACCTTGAAGTCATTAAGGCTTGGTTTGAACGTCACGCCTAGACAATGTCATTTTGTGGCAACGTCTAAGTAAGTAAGTTTGTCTAATAGCTCATTTGTGCATTATAATCCATTTTAATTATCTGTTTTTCTCAGAACATAATCGCAAAGGAAAACGAAAAAGGAAAAAACACGAAGACGACGATTTTTTGTATCCGACTATGAGCCGGTATGTCAGAAGCGTCGATGAAACGAAAACTATTGATGCAAAAATGTATGTGGAGTAGTATTTGTATATTGGGTTACTTTGAAATAACAAAATAACTAACTATAACTAAATAACAGTATGTTATCCGTACTAACAACACTCATTTATGGGAATATGGATTTGCAATGTCATAGGATCATAGAATATCCTAGAACTTGTTATAGAATATTTAAAAGAAGTACCAAGTGGATCCAGACTTCACACCTTATTTTGTTGTTTATTGGCCAATATTTCTTATCCCATGCGCTACCATATGCTGACCCGGATACGCTTCAATCAAATTTTCAGGAGCCGGAAATATACCCGGAAGTTAAATTAACCTTACCAACACAATTTCTTCATATAACTGCATCTGCATGATGATTTTTTTGGAGATGCTAGTTTGCGAAATAAGAACAAAATATTTTGTGAAAAAAACGATTGTTTGGATGTAAAAATAAGGGTATAATTATTTCAAACCCCAGTACGATTATAGTCTCCAATAGAAGCCTATCCGGAATGGTTATTCTGAAATTAATGAGATCCATCAAAACACAAGATCAGCATCAGTACCAGAGTATACCTATCTTCAGCATTATAACGCCATTCGTTTTCACTTCAGATATGGAATTTCAATAAAAAAGGGCCGTCTATCCATTCAAAATTTTACTGAGAAAAATCAAGGCTCCTATTTTTGTGTTGCTGCAAATCAAGATGGTGCAATAAAAAGCAATGTAGCTTCATTGAAAACTGCATGTACGTATTATCATTACGTTTCACATTGGGGAATTATTTGACACGCCTATTATGAACAATTTTTATACTTATATGGTATGGTAAGTACTTTTTGATGGATAACTCAGAAATCCGTGTCCATTTTCCCATACTTGTCCCACGTGTAATACTTGCACCACTTCTCCCACTATTTTGAGATATATTGTGGCGTAAATCGATTAGAAGATTAGAGTGAGCATATACAGTGAAATCCATACAGTGGGACAAGTTGTACAAATTTGACACGACGTTTTGAGGTGTCCCATTTTGTGAGTCATATTTGATGTAGTTTTTCATTTTTCTCAATTTTTCAAATTTTTAAATATAACAAACATTTTTTATACTGAAAATAAAAGTACATTTTGTTTATATTTTTTGATAAGGTGTGTTTTTTCATCTTTTTATTTTTATTTTTAGATATTTTTCATTTTGAGATATCCAGTCAGTACACACAAGTTTGGTGTATCATTTATGATGAAGTTTTTGTTACTACATTTTTTTCATTTTTAGATATTTCAAATTTCACCTCGTCGCCACAAGAAAAGTTCAATGCAAATCATGTTTACGCAGTAATACCATGTGCAATGCCTGAAAGTCGTCCACCTGCTAAACCAAGATGGAAAGTAAATGAGGAATGGATTGAAGACACAGTCGGTATGTGCTTTATACTTGTATCATAATTTGCCCCTTGTGCATCGTTCACCGGACGAGGTTGTCACTTTGTGTCGAGTCAATTGAAAAAAAATATTCGCAATACGCTGCACTTCATTGGCATTTCACACCATGGCAGCCTATAATTCCTCAATGGAAGAGGTTACTCAAATGGCGATTGGGGTCATATATTCAACTCTACTCCTAACTGTCAAAGTAGTGAAGTCAAAGATTAGTTATAAGCTTTGTGTTGTGTTATGACTTATGATTGCATCAGCATGGTCAAGTTTTTGGACGGTATGTCGTTTTGCGTGCGTCTTATTTGTCACCGTCCAAATGCAACATATCCATCGTCTTATTAGACTTATACAATGATTTGTGCGTGTTGGAATTGTCTTGCAACCTTTGTTTACGGTCGACAACGATTCTTTGTAAATGCTATCGATATCGTAATAAATGCGCACTGGTCATTTGTAACAAAAAAATCGAGCGGACATTCGTCTTCCAAGGCGCGTTTGTACGCCCTTGTCATATCATAATATCAAATTCACCATGCTAACGCCTAAGGCACAAATTTCTTCGCGGTACTATAAAATATTATATTGTTTATATGAAATTATATACCCTGAATTTCATTTTCTGTGGCCATATTGACATACAAAATACCTCAAAACCACGCAAATTTATTGGATCTTATACTACACATAGCCTTTATAGTAAAACCAAATTTGTAACCGCTGATTTTTCGATAAGGTTTGAAGTGGGTAAACGAACGTTTTGTTAACCCTTCCATTCGCGTTTCGTATTGTATTATTTCTTGTATTTTTGTATTTTTGGGAATGATTGACATACAACATTGAATATGATTAAGGCTATATTTAATAGAGTTATTACAATTTTCTGGTCTACATCAAGGATTTGCTTGTATTTATATGTTTACGGGCGAAAGCTGACTTTTGTTGTCTATGTGCTTTAATCGCTATAAACTAAAAAAAATGATTATATTCGCATCTAAGGGGGAACAAAAAATAATAAACTTTGTAATGCTAAATTCGTTTGTATCTAAGTAATCAAATCTGCTTCACTTTCGAATATTTTTGTATTCAAATCTTGTATGCCTGGGGTTTGAGTTTTACTTAAATATATTTAGCGGGAATTTGATTTGTCTAACATTCAGAAAATCATGCTTGAATGTCAATAATACCCACGCTTGTTCGTATATAAATTATTGCTCTGCGTTGCCAACATTGATAACCAAACGATGAAAGATGTCAAATTTGCGATACGTATCAGATACAAGATAAACTAACTGACTTGTCTTTCTCACAAACGTCCAGATTTTTTGACAAATGTGATTTTAATGAGGAATTCGTTCGTTCGAAAATAAATCTCGATTGCACTAATTGATTCAATAACAGCCCGGTGCCAATTCCGGTCGCTGACGCGCTGCGCAAATATTTCTTTCCGTCGATCGTCTATTTTATTTTAATATATGCGTCCTAAGGGGTTTGGTCGCATCGTTATGAGAGAGGAATCACGTTTTTATAGAACCCTTTGTTTTACTTTGTTTTTGTTTAAAATTTCATTTTTTTTTTTATTATTGAATGATGGTGATTTTTTACATTAACAAACGCCAGCACGAAGCTCATTATTCATAGTGCTGTTTGTGTCAGAAATCCTTTAAGATAATTAAATAAGTGGATTTACCAATATATGCGCGATGGCCAATCGGCAGGGGCGTCAGAAATAACTATGATGGTGTTTCGGGTTGAATATCTCTGATTCAAATTCAATGTCTATTACCTCACACAGTGTGTAATAAATTGAGTATAGGCAATGACGAAATAGTGAGATTCCTGTCCTCTCAAAAATTAAGATCAAAGTCTATAGCCCACATTTATTCTAATGTATTGAATATTGGAATGTGTGTTTTATTTAGTTAATGGTATATCAGTAAATGTTATTTAAGCAATTTTAATAATGCAAACCTTAATATACCTTGTTTCTAAGAATCCATCCTTTGGGATCTATAACCTGGCCTTCCTAACTTGAATAGATTACTTAGTTTGAAACCAAATGCTTTTTAATTTGGTGTCCCCGCTCACTCGTTTTATAGTTTTACTTCGAAGAAATGTCTTTCGAACCGTTTTGATAAAAATTATTTATAATAAATGTCTTATGGAGTTATTCATATCTAGCAACTTCAAACGAAATCCAAAACGAAGGATGCACAAACATAATAACATGTACCTATCAGTCTTGCAGTTAATTTTAATCGGGAACTAGAACTTACGGTGTTAACATCAACAAGTTGTAGATGATGCCTTAGTATAAAGCGTCCTAAGAATTTACATATTGTTGTACTCGTTGAACTTTTCACTATTTGGTTATACAGTATATGCAATTTCACGACTGGGCCTAACTAACGCCAATTTCAAATCCCTTTGTTATGATATGCGCTTGCAACAAAACACTTTTGAGATAAGATTTTCTTATCATGTTTTGGATAAATATGTGATCTTTTTATCTTCATTTCTCGTGAACAACTTTCGATTGAAGCTTGAAATTTGGAAAATTACAAAATAAAATTTTTAACCAAATTAAAATTCATGAAAAAATTTCAATAAAATTATTTCGATCAATATTCAAAAATGATTGTTTTCAAATATTTAATTTTACAGATAATGCAAAATACGGATAATCGACTTTTTGTTTTTTATGTTGATGTTCTGTTGATATGTTGATGAAAAATATGTCATATAACAAAAGTTCTCTGTAAAATAAACTCGAATGCAATATTCGTAATCGAAATTATTTTGCACATGTAAGATATACGAAATACTAAACCATGCGATGTAAATATTTGTAGACAAGACATATATGCTTTTGTGCAACTCATATATCAACAATCAGATCATCATAAATTATCCTTTATATAAAATTTTCGTCTTATCTGTGTCATCTCTTATCTTGTACAGTTTGACATTTGCAGTGCAGAAAATCAACTTTTGTGAAACAGAACGAAATTTGATTATTTTTGAAGTGTTGATAATACAGACATCATTGCTAAATCAGATAGGCAAAATGGGGAGAATAATTTGCATTCATTACCTAATATATTTCCTTACCGAGTGATTGATAATTAATTTCACCACTCCATGTTGTGTCCAATTTTATAAAGCGGTCAAAATACGTCTCCATTTTATGTCCAACTTAACAAAATCCAAAAAGTGTAGTTAAATCCATGTAATGGAAAATTTTACGCGGAAAACTCTATGTTATTATCGACCGTTCCGAAGCTATTTATTTTTAAGCAGTATCAATTGTAAAATTGAGCGATAGTACCAAATTATGACGGGCTTGCCAATATGAAGCTTCAGATGTATATCGCTCAAATTGCCTTGTGAGTCGTCACGCGATTTGACGTTTAATGGCGGAGACGACGATTTTATATTTGCCTTCGATCACAATTTTGATCTGCGGAGAAGCGATAAATACGCAAGTGCTGTTTTTATATGGCAATTATCATAGTTTTAACATTATTTTCTAGTTCACGCTTGGGGGTATGATAACATTAGTCAGATAGGCGCAAATTATCATCGCTCCGTGCTTAGTATGTTTCTCACTTGTCATTGCTGGTACCCGGATGTGGCTGCTATTTGTAAATTTATTTAAAATGTTACTAGAAATGAGTTGAATTTTTGATATGCATGAAAATGAATGAACTCCAGAGCCTCGCAATTTTGAATCAATAATAATTGAGTCGGTCTTCGGTTATTCATAAGAAAATTGAAAATTTACTAAATTTGAATCTGTTATTTATAAAGAAATTAGAAATTTACTAAATTTGAATCAAATCTGCTTGTCCGCATTCCAACTTACTGTTATGGCTTCTGGTTTCAGAGGGAGCATAAAAGCTTATATTCTGCTGGTACAATAGTTCCTGTAAAAATTTGAATATGCCATATGTTAAACTGAAAAATTCCTGCTTATCTTAGCAATCTATCTCCTCACATATACGTTATTGTTTGCCTAGAACCTATTTTGGAGCGGAGTTGCGTGCCCCATAAAACGATTCGATTAATATGATTATTTAAATTTCCAAAAACTATCTAATTTAAGACATTTTTGAATTTTTAACCACCCATCGATGTCATTAACTCTTATATGCGTAATGCTTTATTTTTTACATCCTACATTTTGGTATTGATGAACGTGTTTGCGGGCGTAATTTTGTTGTCATTTTAAGTGGAATAAGATTATAAGTTAGGTCGATGTAATCCGACTATTTCTCACTTTTTAAAACAAGAAGAAATAGTCTCAAATTTCTTGGTTTCCGGACTCGAACATCGTTGTACTTCATTTTTTATATCATAGTTTGTTTTCAACTAATTGATCTATGCTATTTACAACCAATAAATTCGTTACGAATAAGTCTCTGCATAAGCATCCACTTATATCTTCATATTTGCTAACCATTATTGTACTTATTTCTAAAACTGATGTTGATTTTATAATTCAATGAGATCATTGTGTGATAGAAAATTCGGGAAGTAGCGTCATAAAATGTTCTTATACGAATTGGATACTTGAATATTTTTTGTTACGTATACAAAAATAAATATCTAAATGTTCTTCCTTCGTCAAAATTGTTTTTACTGTCAATTAAGCTCATAATTAAATAGGGCGCTCCGTCCTTATTTTCTCATCTTGGTTAACCTACATTTTTCTGCACTAAATCATCGATTTTGTGTTTTGGAAACACGATGAAAATGCCAACATTTTTAACAAAAAGGGTGGTGAAAGATGAATGAAACCTATCGTATTATTTACGAACACGCTTGACACGAGTATAAATATTTTATTTTTACTTTATTTTTCCAACAAACAACTTTGGCCCGCGTTTGAAAAGTGCAAGTATGATCAATGTACGAACCTATACTTATGCATAGACCTTAGATAATCTCGTCACCGAGACTCGTACCATCTATGCTCTATGGATG